CGGCCATCCAGCCAGTTTTTTACCTGATGAGGATTTGAAGCAAAAAGGAAGATAAATATATTTAAAGTTATATGAATAACAGTATAAATAAGGAAGGAGCATTTTTAAATCATCTCCAGTTAGAGGAGTATAAGGAATTACACCACGTTCTCAGAATCCAACGCTGACTTCCTGACGCTGACACTAGCAGAACCATGATATGGTCCAAATTCATGGCCAAACACAGCCTACACCTGTGTCCAATATACACACACACACAAAAATCAGTTTGATTCTAAGCAAATGCTATTTCAAGGCTTTTTCCTCCACACCTTCAAAACACAGCTTTCAGCATTTAAATGAAGTACTTCAGTTAACAGAGCTTAAAACCAGAGCAAAATATCAAGAGAAGGAGGCCAGCTCTTCAGAGGTCCACCAACCTGCCTGAGCTACACTGCCTCAGATAGGGCTGGAGGACAAGAAAATCCCTCTCCTGTTGAGCTGGTAAGTGCCACGCTCTGTGCACCACTGGGATCATGAGGCACCGCTTGCTAGCCTGGGGAAAGCAACGGGATCTCTCGTTTTGGGAATCACGCCAGATAGCTAATACTCAGAAAAGGGAATCAGATCTCATTTTTCCTGCTGGCTATGCCCTACATTAGCCCAGCCCAAACCACCCTTCCTTGCTTCTCCTAGGCCAGTGGCGACTCATCTATACTTTAATGGAGGTCTCTGAGGCTTAATTAAATACCTGAAAAGAGCTTTGAGAGCATCAAAGTGAAGGATGCTAGAAAAGTGCAAAGAGGTAGTTCTTGTAGCTCATATCCACGTGCTGCATATGTGCCTTTGTATATTTCTTCTCCTTTTATAAAAGCAAAACGTGCACCTGATCCCATTCATTCCCCCTACCCTTCTCCTGTGATGCCTCCCAGCTTGCTGGTTTTGTGCATGAGGTTTGAAAAAGGGGGTCTGACTTACCCAACAGTCGAATTTGCGTCACCGCACCATGTAAAACGAAGAACATCCAGAGGGGCTGGGAACAGTCCACACAGACCTGCATGCCAGTGCCGGCACCGTTGTGACTCAAGTGCAGCTCACCATCTGAATTCACCATAAATCCCAGGATGTCTCCGCTCTGGAGGGGCACCACGACTCGGCAGATGGCCCAGAACTCCTTTCGGTCGACGAGGGACTCGGGGTTATAGGGGAGGTCGCTGGGGCGCAAGGTGCTGGGGTCGCAGGATGTCACCCCATAGGACAGCGTCCCCGTGCGCACGGCACTGGACTTGTTGATCTTGACGAAAATGGTTTCGTTGATCCGAAGGGGTCTGCTGGTGAAAACCAAAGTCCTCTCCTCCCGGGCGTGCTCCAGACGGGCCACGGTTTGGTCATCGAGGATTTTGACGTGAGGTCCCCGGAGGTGGTGGAAGCGGAGGTCACTCTCCAGCTGGGAGGGGAGGAGGTGGGAGTGTTGGGAGTTGAGGGAGTTCTGCGGGATGGGGCACGTGGTGGCCGTCACGTGGAAGGTCTCTTCCTGCAGGTTGAGGTCGCACAGGCTGACCGAGAGGCGCGTGTCCTCTGTGTCCCGCCGCAGCGAGGGCCGGCGGATGGCGGTGAAGGAGCGGGGCCGCAGGCAGTCGGGAGGAATGATTTCACTGTCTGTCGGGAGAGGGAAAACAAAACAGGGGTCACCAGTGAAAATGAAAACACCCGGGAGCTTGCAAATCAGTACTGGTTTGATTGATACGTTTAAAAGGGAAAATCAGAGATGTGCTGCCATTAATAAATTTTCCCCTTTAAAATATGGAAGCAGAGTATCACAAAATGTGTTTGCAATCAATTGCTGTTCTTGTATTCTCCCCAGCAGCATCACCATTTTCAGCTTCTGAGCAGGCAGACTCAAAATCGATGGGAAGAATTGACCAGGGGAGGATCTCCTCGGAGAGGGGAAGCAGAGGGTAAATAATCTGAAACACACCCTGAACATACTAATCAATATCTGTACAGGCTCTGAGTTTTCATGCCCTCTTTATTGTCTACAGTAACTCTCATAGATCTAGGAAATAAATATTTAACTACATACATTTTTTTAAATTTTAAAACAAATGCTATGTTCAGTTCTAATTTATTTAACATCATATGAAATGTAATTAATACTTCTGAATATAATTAATCATTAGTGTTCTGGTGCTCACTGCAAACCAGTACAGAAATGGATTTCACAGTGTAGAACATGGGAATATTTATTTCTATAAATAACATACAATCGTTTATTATCTCCAAGCCAGATAATTAAAAATCAAATCCACAGATACGTAACAAAGGAAGATGACGCTTACAGATTCAAATCCACCTGTGGAAAGAGAATCACACCTTATCCTCTTTGTTAGTCTCACCTGCTGTTTCAAGAGCTAAGCATCAATTTATTTGATTCTTTTTCTAAGGAACATAATCACCTGCCTTTAATGCCTAAATTACTTTTATTTAACATATCCTTAGCTATGCTGTTGCCATAGACATTTTAAGGAGCAATATACTGAGAAAAAAAAAACAACACGAGGTGGGACCACCCCACACAACACAAACCCCCGCAGGTGGCACAAACCAACACCACCAGACCCCATCCCAGGATCTGCCGCAGGGATGGCACAAGGTGGAACGACAAGAGGAGGCAGAGGAGCAGAGACTTCTTCCTAACCCACCTGCTACTCCCTTGCAGTGGGCATCTCTTCCACCCGCATACCCTTGGGATTTTCTTTTACAACAACAAAAAAGCGGGACCTCAGGTTATCTGAGGATTTTCCCAATGGGATGAACCCTCTTGCAGTACACCAGAGTACTGGTGTGCCAAGGAAAAATGCCAGCTGCTGAATAACCAACATGTCCTGCAACATCTGAGGTCTGACGAACAGCCTTTCCTGCCCTCCTCTTCTGGGAGCCCTGACAAGAGCACACCCACACACAGTTTGGCTTCAGTAGAGCTCTTTGCTTTGCCTAAACTGGATTATTCCAGGCTCCTCTCTAAATAAACTGCTATTACAAGGGAAGCACAGTCTCAAAATAAAAATGAGCTTTGTTTCTCATATTTGATTTCCCCCATAATTATATTTCAGCTTCTCTTCCCAGAAGTTAATTAAAGAAAAGGAGGAATAAATAAAAATCAGAAATTACCCCAAGTAATTTAGAAGTGGGTTGCATTAATGCTTTGTAGTATATGGGCTAGCATTTGCATTGCAAGTGCTCCTGCTGGATAGAATTAGACTTATTTTACCCTCCTTTGGCTGGAAACCCACATAGGAGAACAAATTAATACTGGCAGCTGACAACGATCCTTTGGTGTAGGTGAACGGGTAGAGACCTTTCTGAATAGGAACAGAAGGTCCTCTCTGTTTTGTTCCCTGTAACTATGCATGTGCAGCCTGGCTCACAACTGTGATGTGTGGGTAGCTTGCAGCCAGGGTTTTGAAACAGCATGTTTTCCACCAGGATGCTTGCATTTCCCTTTGGCTGCTGGACAAAATATCTTTTTCCATCTGAAAAGAGGTTGAGAGATGGAGATCTGCAGATAAGACACATGGCAGCGATAGCAAACCAGGGTTACACATCCAACTGCTTTACTTAAATCCATCGGTAGCTCAGATGCCTAGCCCCATAAGGGATAAGACGTCTCAAGCATATAGGATTGACTGTGAGACTTAGTTCATTAATGTTTGCAAATACCCACGAAAGAGAGGATTACAGTTTACTGGTATCTAAAGTGACTTTGCCAAAATTTAGAGGTGGGTCTCTAAGAGATGCTGGCTTGCTCCAGGGCTTTATGTTTTTTATACATCGCAAAATACTCATCTAAAAAAAAAAAAAAATCCCACTGTATATAAAGTAAAACAAAAGTTGGATTTATCTTTTGGGTTGATAGGAAAGTTGGAAGAGATGTGGAACATCCTTTTTCCAGAATAACTGATAATGGCCAAGGGCTACGATAGAACAATTCTAGGGAAATGTGAAATAAATGAGGGGATTTTGAGAAGTTTCTTTCACCAGAAGATACCCAGGAACGAGTTATTTTCTTCCACCAAAGCTCCAGTTGTCACTTTTTAAACACAGACCAAGCTGTCCGTGGCCCTTAACACAGCCATACTCCTGCAGAACATTTACAACTGACCTTTAATGCCTACAAAGGAGGGGCTGTCCATGTAGGACTGTTTAGGCACATTTATATTTGCAGAGACAAACCTGGAGCACACCTCAAAAAAGATGGAATGACTTTATATGACGAGACTACAAAATGGGTCCAAAAGCTCATTACTGAGGAGATCACCTGGCTTCAGCCTGAAGTATTTAGAAACCACCCCTCCTTATTAAATATACAAGGTGATAAAATTTCCTGTATAAGGCAGTTGGCAGTGTTTCTTTGGGAAACGTCAACCTGAGAAAGACCTCCTTGGGTGAGACTAGATGGACTTGTGAGTGAAGACCACAGCTCTCCCGGAGTCACCAGAGCAAACTTTAACCCGGCTGGTTGGGTACCGCCAGCAAGCTGGCCGCAATCACGGCAGCTCGATGCAGGCTGGCTGCCCAGCTATCTTTCCAGAGAGGTTTTGCCGAGCTCTGCATCCATGTAGTTATGGTGCTAATGCCAGATTTAGAATCTTAAAGTTTCTGGTAGCAATATAGGCATAGCCAAAGCGGAAAAGATTTCTAATACAAATTTTCTGCTCCTCAGTTGGAGAATCTGAGACACTGAAATTTTGTGCAGAATGTCTAACTTCACAAATCCCTTTTTATCTTTTTCTGGCTTGTTTAAGAAAATACATGAGCAGCAATAGCAAAGTAGAACTCAAGGGCACTTGAACAATTCAGCCATCTTCTGTTTTATCCTCCTCTTTAGTGTGGTTTATCTGCAAAATTTAGATTCTCAGCAGCTGATGCCTTACACAAAAATCTTGAAGTATCTTCCTCAAACCAGAGGCTTCAAAGCGCTCTGTTTTCCCACTCAGAGAGCATGGAAGAGCTTCCCGCTTTGTGCAAGCTCAATGAAACTGCAGTAACACTTTACAATAGCACTTACAAGGAGCTGGTGAGCAGCCAGATACAGCTGTAATCACTGCAACCAGATCAGAATCATTTCACTACCACCTTTTTTCTAACCACTGCCAAATGTTGTCTCCTTAAAACCATCTATTTCTTTAAATGTATAATATGTATAGTACTTATTTATATCACATACAGGCACATTTAACATGCACATCCAAACATAAACTCATTTCTAACCACCAGCATGCACACATCACCTCAGCCTGATGCAAACCCGAAGGGGATGTGTTGCTGTCAGGCTGTCAAATCATTATTTCCTTACTCTTTGTCAGTACTGTCACTGCCTGAAGGCTTGACTTTCCAAGGTCATGGGCAGCCAGTACTGACACACCTGTACAGGATCTGAGGAAGCAGAGCAAACTCAGCACACGCATGCTGAAAACTTGCAGAGTCTAGTATTTAACTGCAAGCTCTAGGGACACAGATCTCCTTCTCTTGATTTCTGAGATTGGTGCAAGCCTATGGCCTCATATTAAATGAATTTCTTCAGAGCATGAGGCTGTAACCTCTCTTCAGAATGACCTATGGTTTATATGTACTAGGTCTTCCAAACTTGAGTTTATTACTACAAAAAAATAATGTAAAATTTGGGGACTCAGCTAGACAACATAACATAGATAACACCAATTCTAGTGATCTTCCCTCCCAGGATAAGGAAATGCTGAAAAAACAAGGAACAAATTCCTTCCTGACCTAGTTCTAGTCATTCCTTGCATCTGGAGAACATTTCTGAACTCAGCAAATAAGCAGAGAGTAAAGAATTGGTAAGGTCAGAACTCTGCTGGGGCACTCCTTCCCCTGCCATGCACAGCCCCATGTTCTTTCCTTCCTTCCCTCTGTTCTTTGCTTTACTTCTTCTCAAGTGCACCTTTCTTCCCTTAATCTCTTACTTCACTGGGTAATAGTATTTCTCGTGGTGAGGACTGGTGCTCATTGTATAATTTCCATGACCAAAGAATCTCAGACGTGCTAAGCTACCAAAAGACATCTTGAAGTCAGTAGCCCCTACAAGAATATTTTATGTAGGTATACAACTGCAAAAGGATGTATACTGTATTATTCCCACCACGCTGGAGGGGCTCCGTTCCTACTCAGGAATGCAGATGAAGGCTCCTTTTCCCACCACCAGTGCTACCTGCCAGGAGGGGTTTTGCAGGGAGGACAGCTAGCCTTCCAACACCTGGAACCTTGCACTACCCCCTCCATGGTCTACAGCAGACTTAGGCAGCTAACAGTCCATTTGGCAAGACTTCGACATTGCAGGGAGACGTGTCTGAAATACAAGGCAGATGTATCACGCTGTAAAATAACATTGCACTCAAAGGCAATTGGGAAAAGCAACCCGTCACAAGACAAGAAATAAACCTGCGCTTCTGGAAACCTTCTGTCACTCACAGCCTTGTACTCCCCATCGTGGGAGTACAGGTATTAATCCCAGCTCAGCTGCCTGCCTTGCACACTCTGCCCGTGTCATGCTGTGGCAATCTTTGCTCCCTTGCTGACTCAGTCCTATCGAGCTGATGTGTACTGCTGGGGAGCTGCCATGCTTCAGTGCAGAAGTAGTC